CCCCAGCCCCGGGGGGTGTCCGACACCCGCTGCCGCCAGCGACCCTGCAAAATCCTGGTTTAACATGATTAGGCAATTTTCGGCAATTTTCTACACCGAGCCGCTGCCGTCGGCTCCTCTCTCCGGCAAATTCGGCTTCGCGCCGGGGCTGGCAGGAAGGACCCGCACCCCTTCCCCCCAAAAAACCGACCCCGAGCGCCCTGGAAGGAGCCGCCTCTGCCCCGGGACGCAGCAACGACCGAGGGTCCCGCGCCGCTGGAGCTTTAACTTGCCAAAAAGCGGAGGGGGGAAGGCTGGCCCCGCTCCCCCCGGCCCTCCGAGGCACCGTGTACCGCCCGCCCTGAAAGAGCCCTTCCACTCCTACCACTGGTTTTTTTTTCTATTTTTGCTTTTTTTTTTTTTTTTTTTTCCTTAAATAGATCTCTCTCTGAAATTGGTTTTTTGTTAGGTTTTTTTTGGTTTGTTTTTTTTTTTTTTAACGTGTGTTTGGACACAAAATAAAGCTTTGGATTTACATGGAAGCTCTTTTCCATGTGACAGAGCCACTTTCCATCCCCACCCCGCGCTTCCTAGCATCTGCCTTTCCAAGAAAAGGTCCTTGGCTGCTGAGGGATCCTCGGGGGAGCCCTGCTTACGATGGGAAGATTGGAAACATAATATATATATATATTTTTTTCTGTTTTTTTTTTTTAAAAAAGGGAGAGAAACATCTTTAAAGAGAAAAATCGGAGGAAAAGTACTAACTAGATTTTGTGACACTTTGTTTTTTGGTTTAGGAGAGTCCTTGCGTGTTACCCTCAGACGACCCTCCTGCTACATTCAATCCTGATGCTTCATTATTTGAATTATCCTCAAAGTGCTGCTGCTCCTGGCCGTTCCTCTGCGGGGTGTCCTCTGATTCTTGACTCTCCCCACCGGCTTGAAAGCTTCCATCCTTCGGGGTTCCCCGTAGGGGTGGTAGGCAGACCCCCGGCATCTCTCACCCGGGGTTTACGGCCCCTCCTGGATGGAATACCGTTGCATCCATCTTTTTTAAGGTGCCTGTGCAAGTGGTCGGAGCGGACGAAAGTCTTGAAGCAGCTGTCGCACTGGTAGGGCCGCAGGCCGGTGTGGACGCGCATGTGGTTCTTCAAGTCGTAGTTGTGAGCGAAAGCGGCGCCGCACTGCTGGCACAGGTACGGCTTCTCCCCCGTGTGTTTCCTCATGTGAACCTTCAGCTTGTCCTGCCTGCGTGGGAGAGAAAGGACAGGGG